CTGACACTCCTGTATGTGCGGGAGGCCTCAGTGCACAGCATGCACCTCTCATTATGAAAGAAGTGGTTGGTTTCTGTATCCTAACTCAGTTTTTGTGGGTAAATGCGAGTCACGTGACTGACACGAGCACGCTACACAACGTTTGGCTTCACGCTTCATAACGTTGTACTGCAAATATGTGTAGCCGTTTCTTATTAGGTCTACCATATTTAGAAATAAATTTAATATATGTATATGATCGATGCATAAAGCAATTTTGAGAATTCATAAAGTCATGTAGTTCAGAAAAAAACAAAAACATTTTATTTAAATAAAAAAAACACACATTGGTGGGAGAGAAACAAAGAGAAACTGGCTTCTTTTTCCACTCTAACCGTGTTTACAGGCCGTTATCTGTTTTACACACTCGATCAAATAACAAATACAAAATAAAACAAAAAGCAAGTTAAAAATCAAAATGTCTCTTTCAGTGGACATAAAAAAAGTCTTCGGCGTAATGTTAAGTCTTTTGTGCTATTTGGTGCATCTCAAATATATAAAAGAAATAATCCTAAAAGTAGCTATATTAATACTGAAACAAACAAGAACAGAAAGTAAAATATTCCCTCCAAACAAAACGTATAAATACGAAACATGCAATTCAGTCCATGCTCCGCCCATCTAGTTATAAAGCACCAAATCATAACAACTGTCCTGCAAGGCATGGCCAGCGACACTCCCTTTTCTGTCAATGTAAAGAACTTTAAAAACACATTAAATTCCTTAGATATGTTAATAAAAGACAAATAAGTGCAATTTTAACTGTATGTATCAGTTTTTGTACATGATAAAAGAAACCCGTCAGCGTGGGCAAGAAATAAGTGTGTAAACATGCAGAAAACATTCTGGTAGCTCACTGGCCAGACTGTCTTTTAATTATAAAACACAAGACTTCTGTTAATCAAAGCCATTTTTTTCCCTACCACCCTAAGGCACATAGTGGAAAAAAACAGGAAAATTTCTGTCATTTAATTGTTTCTGTTACTTAATTACTTTTATCCGGTAAGTTGTAAAGGTTAGGGACATACAGTTAAAGGTCTAGCATCTACGCTGTCCAAAGACACACTGGGCTGGATTGGAGTCTTTGTCGAGCCAATTCTGTTCCCTGGTCCTTATGTTTGACAACCATGATGTAGACAGATATATAGCCTA